GCAGCTCCTGTGATGAGCGGGAGATTTCAGCCTCCAAAACATGGCTGTGAGTCAGGAGCCACCTTCCCACCAGTTTTTGGGTGGTCTGGGACAAGCTGGGACAGGCGCCGGCTCTCCAGGCTCCCTGGCAGTGTGTGGAAGCCCCGGGGCTGGCAGCCCTGTCCCGGCATTCCAGGGAATCTCTGCCCCACACTGCGTCTGCCAGCACCCCCCTGGGATTTGGGGCTTCCTTGGATGCTGGCAGCCTGGCAGGGGTCTGTCCTCTACTGGGTGTCCCCAGGGCCACTGGTGACCGCAGCTTGTGTCCCCTGACCCTGTGCAAGGCCCTGCAGCAGCCAGAGGGTGCCAGCAATTTGCAGATAAAACAAACAGCCAGAAGCAGGGAATGTCTGAGTCTGTTCTCCGAGACGACGCCGGGCAGAGCCACACGTGTCTCAGCTGAGACCCAGCAGCAGCTCAGCACATGTCCCCTGGCCACTGTGGGCACCCAGCTGCCACGGGGTGAGCGCCCGTCTGTGGGTGGGGAGGTGGGTGAGGCTCCCGACGGATCCCTGTGGGCTCCGCCAGCGCAGCTGGGAGCCCGCCTGACCCCGGGGGGTGTCTGTGGTTCCCCTGTTTGGGGGGTCCTGTAGAGCAGCAGGAAGGGTGTGGTGTGGGATGGGATGGAACAAGATGAGGCGGGATGGGATGAGATGGGATGGAACGGGATGGGATGGGATGGGGAGCCCCACCCCTGACGGGAAGGCAGCTGGGGTGGCAGCACCTGGCTGCAGATCCTGGCTCCTCTGGGGCAGGGCCTGGGCCTGAGTGGGGGCCACATTCCCCTTCTTCCTCCTGCACCCCCTGCTCCATCCGCCCACACCCAGGACAAGTCGGGGGGACCAGAGCACAGAGGGAAGCAGTGGGATGGGGGTTTATTGAAGAAGGAAAATGTTGCTGCCACAAGAGGCTGCGTGAGGTGCTGGGGCTTCTGCTACAGCCTGAGGAGGACATGACACCCCTCACCAGTGGGCAGAGTCCTGGGTCAAGGAACCCTGGGCATCAGCTCCCAGCCCCCACCAGAGCTGGAGGATGTGGGAGTTCTGGCCCTTTTCTCCCCTCTTGGGAGACATCTCAGCCCCTCTCCCCACAGCCCGCCCCCAGGACCCCCTCCCAGCCATGTTAGGCTCTGGCCTCCCCTTCTGCTGGCGGGGCCCTCGCACAGTGCGATGCACCCAGCCGATGTAGTTGGAGATCTTGGTGTAGATGTCGGGGAACCGGCGGTCCCCACATCTCTTCCCAGAGAATGAGACGATGCCATAAACCTTTTTCTTGAAGATCAGGGGTCCCCCAGAGTCACCCTGCAAAATGAGGAGGTTGGAGGGAGCCTAGTGGGTCTCCCAGTGGGGGCAGTGGGGCCGGGGCCGGGGGTGCACTCACGGTGCAGACGCCCTGCAGGGTGGCGTTGGGGCTGGCCCCGCACAGCATGTTGGCCGAGACCTTGCCCCTCCACAGCGTCTGGCAGAGGCTCCGCTTGACGATGGTGGTGTTGGTCTCCATCAGCTCAGCGGGCTGGTTGCCATAGTTGGAGGTGTCCCCCCAGCCCACCACGCAGCAGACGGTGCCGGGCTTCAGGTCGATGTGTGGCGAAGGCAGACGGATCCGCTTCACGTACTCGTTCAGTTTGGCCGACCTGTTCAG